GAGCTTTAAGGTCCCTCCCAACCCAAACCCTATGATTCTATTTCACAGCTGGGGACAGTGGCCAGATGTGGTGTCCCCACCAGCAGAATGGGACCTCACACCAGCCCTCACCTTTAGTCTTGTGCCCTTTGCGCCAGTGGAGTCGGCTCGCTCACTCCCAGCCAGGTCCACCAAGCTGATTTTGCTGACCTGCAGGCAGGGACAAGGCTGTCAGCCCCAGCAAACCAGGCCCTGGCATGGAGCAAAGACCTCTTGCAAGGTGACACTGCCCTGAAGGCAGAGGTGAGCTCTGCAGGGCCACCCGTTATGGGATTTGGCCAGAAGCAGGCCTAACATCCTTGCAGCCAGGGCTGGAGCGCACCAGCTGCCACATGTTCTGGCTGCAGGCCAGTCCTTGAGGGACCATGAGCCCAACATGTGCCTGGGACTTATCTACATCCTGTTTCAACCCTTCATCAGGCCGCACCATCTAATCCCAGGTACTGTCAATAGCACAGGAAGCCCTTCCAGGGTCCATAAACATTTCCCTGACTCCCCCAGGCTCTGCTCTCACCTTTTCAGTGGTTATATCCGTCTCGGCGTCATGCCGTTTCTGTGTGAAGATGATGTTGAAGACTGCGTGGGAGCGGCTACTGGTCTCGTTCATGTTGGTGGCAGCCACTGTGCTGCGGGGAGAGGAGGACAGGGCGATATGACACTTGGCAGGGGACACTGGAGCAGCTGGTGCTGGGGCCAGGGCTCATTTGAGGACAGGACACATGATGGGAAGGCAAGTCTGGAGGACAGGAGAGGACTCTGGGAGGAGACATGCAAAAGTCCAGGCTTTCTCCTGCTGGCTCCAGGGTGTTTTGAGAGCAGGAAGGAGGTCAGGTGAAAATAAGTCAGGGCTACCCAATGCAGAGACATGAGGGGACTGCCACCTCCAGCCAGATCAGCAAAGCAAGGAAGTTAAGCAGGATCTTCTGGAGATGTCTGCAAGCTCTCCAAATCTTGGCCATCTCCTGCTGCCACAACTCACCGGGCTTTATTCCCAGAATCCATGAGGTCCTGGATGTCATTGTAAGAGGTCACAGCCAGCTTGGAAAGGTCCTCAACGTACGGGCCCATAAGAGGATGCTCCCTGACTCGCAGGTTCCCCTTGTTCTTGGGGTTCAGGAGGTCCCTCACACGCTCACAGTATATCTCCATGTAGCTAACCTAAAGCAGAGGTCATGGGCAGGGCTAGCGTCTGGTGGGATGCAGACACACAGCACATAGGCAGAATCAGGCCTTGCCCACCCACCCCACACCCAGGGACGCGACCCCCAAAGAGGGGTCTGCACACCAGCATGGCTTGCAGGGCTGGGTGGGAGACTGGAGCCAGACTGGGCAGGCAATGGGGTGCCTACCTCCACAGAGTAGGACATGTTGTCGTTCGTCGTGTCGTTGATGCGGGAGAAGAGGTCCTCACACAGCTGTGGAGAGAAGAGCCAGGCTGCACCCAAAAACCAGAGCCCCTGAGTACTGGGATGGCTCCTGCGGAGCGGGTAGAACCTCCCGTGCTGATATGGGCAGCTCAGCATCCCCAGAGCCCCTCCGGTGCCCTGCCAGGACGGCACGCAGCCGCCCTTGGCAAGCACAGCCAGCAGGGCTTGGCGCTTGGACTACTGCTGCTCACAAATACCAGCCTCACGTGGCCAGACCATAATTTATCTGGTCTCAGAAGAGTCCAGTGTGACCCTCCTTGTCCCCCTGCCCTCTGGCAGAGCCGTGCTGGCTCACTGCCGCAGCAGGGCTGTGGTAGGCCTTGCCAAAGCCTGGCCCTGCTCCCACCTTGCTCCTCTTTTCCTTCCACACTCCACTTTTCCTTTGTCCATCTCACTGGGACCAGCGGAACAGGCAGTGTTTCTCCAGTGGTACCTGAGGGATGATGCCTTGCTGGTCCTTCTCCTGCTTCCCCATCATGGTGTAGGATTTTCCAGCACCCGTCTGCCCATAGGCAAAGATGCAGACGTTATAGCCTTCGAAGGCATGTTGCAGCATCTCCTCGCCAATGTCCCGGTACACTTGCTTCTGAGATGCATAGTTGATGTCTGCAGGCTGCAGAGAGAAGGGGAACAAGGAGAAATTTGGCAAGGATGTCCTCCAACTGCCTCCCCCCAGACCAGTGCTCCAGGTGGGCTCAGGCCTCCCGCTGCTTACCGTGGTGTGGGACCAGTAGGAATAGTCAAAGCTGAAGCTTTTTGGTGTCTCTTTGGGCTGCTTCGGGTTCAGGATAGCTAGGGGCAAACAGAGGGGAACATGAAGCCACCCGTGGTACCTCCACCACCTTCATTCCACTTGTGAGGGGAGAAGGGTGATGAGGTTCAGTCCAAAATAGTCCTAGAAAAGCAGGACTGGGACCCTCTAGCTTTGCAGTTGGGTCCAGACCCCAGGAGTTCCAGCAGAGAGGTGGGTGCCACGGCCAGCAGAGCCCGCACCAGTCCCGGAAGCCTCATCCAACCATCCTGCTGAGCACCAT